CCTCTACATAACAGTGTATATCCCCATGTCAAATTTCAAGAAGAATCTCTTGGATTCTGAGATAAAGACTGTAGCTCTCATGATCTATTTACGGTACAGTGACCTGGACCTAAATAACATTTTAAACCCATTTTGATCTACATATCACAGTTTATCACCAAATCAAATTTCAACAAGATTGGTATTTTGGATTCTGAGATCATCTCCAGAAAACGAAAGTGTGGCTGGACAGACAGATAGACGTATAGACACCTGCATCTCTGATGTACCCCACCCTCACTCCCCATATAAAGAGTACCCTCCATCTTATCTGCAAATTAAAGACATATGTATTTTACTCCTACCAGCAAATCTGGTTTTCTGACCCCAAAGTCACATAATGAATAGATTGTTTACACATAAATCAATCAACACAATGTTAAATGGGGGTTTCAAAACAAGTCATCAGCTCACTTTCAATGGTTACCAACTCCTGAAAAAATTCTCATATAATGAATACGTTAATTATGGCCTGTGAGTATAAAATTGATCGGTAAAATCATGATTCTGATGGATGTTTGAAATTACCCGATTATCGCAACTTACAATTGGTACCCAAATCCACGTAAAACTCTGCAATTTCATATTGTATTCTAGGACCGGTGGCTTCAATGAAAGCGTACTTGTTTCCTTCAAATGCCGATGATGGCCCCGTATCATGGATAGGGAATGGCCATGTATCATCGTACCATGATCCAGGGCTAGGGGTGCTACTACTGTAGCCCTGCAAAAGATTTAGTAACATAAAATCAGAAAATTGTCTAAGCCTTATGGACAATTATGAAAATCAATGCTTTTACTTGACCATTTATCTATGCATACATCAATCATTAATCACCACTGTAGACCATATTGGACTCGTCCAGATCATTGCATGGAAATAATTATTTGGACAATACTATCAACTTGTACTTCTCACAGTTCTCCCTAGGCCATTAAGTAGATATGGAGTTGTATCGGCTTCGTGTGCAAATCCTCCCTACCACATCAGCTTAACTCATTCACCCCTGAACACACATTGGAACTCAAGTCAACTTCAAAGGTTGGAAAAGTTCATTATGAAATTTCCAGGGTGAATGAGTTAACTGGCCTGTATCACGTTAGACCATGAGACGTATCGCCTTGTTATTTGTACTGAATGGAGTCTTTTACATTATATTTTGACACCGATTAAATCACAAGGCTGCCCTAGTCTAGCAATGACCACCACTGGTCAGTTGCAAGATGTCGTGTGCCGCAGGGGGCCAGTAATTAGCGGTGGAGGGGGACTTGAGGACATATTTGACAGGTGTTATTCACACATGATCAGTCAACCTTAAAGCAATCATGTCTGGGTCCTTTTAGCATGGTCAGTAGATGATCAATTTGAGGATTTAACAACTTTGTAAGACTTGGAAAACAAGAGCTGTAGTAGAACAGCATAGCTCGTCTATTAAAATCATTTTTGTAAAAAGTGCGAATAGTAATTGGGCCATTACAGGATGTCCCATCTTAGATAATGGATCAGGAAACTAGAATTACATTGTCAATGGCACACTCCCGCTATCCTCCCAAAGTAACCCCCAACACATCCCCACACGATTACCATAAGCAAAAATAAATTATTGTAAAATGTATGGCTCATGGTTAGGATCGTTACTCTCTCAACAATTATTATAATCTGAAAATAAAATGCCGGTGCACAACTACATAATATATACTGATCATTCAAGTGAAGTTTTAGTAAAATCTGCCTGTCTGTTAAGATAAAGTTTTTCGGACAATTTTACTGTAGACAACAGACATCCAGACAGGGTGGTTACAGTTAGTCCGAATTATTCTGACGTTTTATCGACTTTTTTCATATCTGTCTGTCGTCGATTAACGTCAGAACTCCGGCCCTCTATAATATGCGGAAAATATGCGACCCGCGCCTGGAGCGCACTTCAAACTGTCACTTTCACACACGTCGCACATGGATCAAAAGATCTATTCTTTATGCACTAGGTGGTATCAATAACATGTTTCAAAGATCATTACGAAAAGTATTTTCCAACGTTTTCTATACCAACCCATGTTTTTAATGGAAATTAGGCCATGAGCAATGTCACATGACTTGACGAGATCTCACGTTACCGAAGGTATTTCCCAACATTATGACGTAGGCTGGCGAGATTTTAGTCACATGGCATTAGAAGGCGGGGCTATCAAAAAACTAGAGTAAAACAGAGTAAGTTTGAAAAAATAGGTTTTTAGTGATTGGATTGGTTGTTTGAGGCATGTTATGTAGGTTCATCTTGTGCATTAAGAATAGATCTTTCGATCCATGTGCGACATGTGTGTGAAAGTGACGATTTGTTTCTAAAATATCAGTTTGAAGTGCCCTCTGGGCACGGGGCGCATATTTCTGACGTTAATCGACGACAGACCGATATGAAAAAAGTTGATAAAACGTCAGAATAATTCGGACTAGGTTCCAGTATACCCCCCAAACTTTGTTGCGGGAGGTATAAAAATATAACTACACCTGTAGTAGAGCTGCTACAATATATCGTGATATATTTTGAACACTGTACAGTACACAGTATTTTATGGGAGGTTAATGATACACCTAGGATATTCAGGGTTTTGTCGATTCCGATTTCAATCTGCTCAAGATTGGTTCAAGCATGTCTCTGACAGCTCCAGATTGGCATGTACTTGGAAATTCATGAATTATGTGAAACTTTATAAAATTATGCCTATTTTGGACCAAGTCTATTTACTGTTGTAATATTGCCATTAAAAAATTGCAATACATCTTTTCTCTTTGCTTCTATTGTTACTAATGTATTGTGCTACGTATCGAATCATGACGACAGTATGGAGATACGTATTGTGTTGTCATGTTAATGCATCATTCAGCCCTAGTAACCGGAGCCGTTTGTGTGATCAGTCCATCAAGTTGACAGTCTATTGTTGAAAACCTACCTGCTTTATAGTCCAATCAAAAGTGTCCACTTTTGGTTTGACCTGCTCCAGAAAACAGGAGGCTCCATCTTCAAATGTGCAGGTCACAGGAATACTCCCTGGTAAAATGAACAACCAAATGTAAAAATACTTCAGGGCCAATATAAATCTAATGTATAGTTTGTAATTTCTTTAATTAACTCATTCACTTCTGAAACCACATTTGAACTCGTCCATTTCAAAGGGTGGAATAGTTTATCATGAAATATCAGGGGAGACCGAGTTAATCTTACTATATTGGTGGTCACCCAAGATAACACTAAAATAAATATCCAGAAAACACAAACTGATCATAATTTGGTTAACTCATTCACCCCTGAAATTTCGTAATGAACTTTTCCAACCTTTGAATTGGAAGAGTTCAAATGTGTCTTCAGGGATTGAACAAGTTAATACAGTGAATTCAGAGATACTAGAAAAGACCTGTTCATTTTACTGCCGAATAACAGTCGAACCTCGTTATCTCGAAGTCAACGGTTTGGTGTAACTTCGAGTTATCCGAGTATACGAGTTAAGCGAGTTCCTATGCCGGGTTGGCATAAAGCTTGGGAAAGTGTTTGGTCCAATATGATTAATTAATGTTACAATAAACACACATTCTGTCTCCGACCTCGTGCTATGCGGATAGAAATTTCAATGCGGAAAATGAAAGTGCGCAAGTCTTTATACAAATCACTGTATTGGAGCGTACAGGTTGGATTGCTCAGTTGATTTCGACATTCCGAAATGGGTATGATGAATTAATCAGGAAACATATCCACATTTATAGACCCTAATGACACTGGACATCTCCTCAACACGACGTAGTCAACAATAATTATCGTATTGTTCCTATAATCTCTCAATTAATTATCATTGCAATACAAGCTCCTGTAAAAACATAAACCAACTAACCAGTCCTAGGGTGTGATTTTTACTGTGGAGCTTATTATTTTCTGGTTAGAATGTGTCGGCAGCTTTGGTGTAAATAAAGTGCCATTCAAATTGTTTACGGGCTCGCAGTAAGTACCAATTGTTGTTAATCAACATTGATGAAGTTTGTTTCTTTATTTGTACCACGGAATTAGATTAGAGGTAAAGGCAACTACCTCTTTGTGGGGGGCAAAATTTATTATGGTTTATAATGGCAAATGATACTTTGAATATTACATGTTAATAACTTGATTGGAATTATAACCTTGAGTTGACAGTTTGATACTTTGAAAATTTTGAGCCAGCCCTACTCCCAAGGGCTGTAGGGTGGGGCCCAAAGGAGTCAGTGTGCTAAAATTTCTTCATTTTCCTTGTTTAGAATCAGAGGTGCTAGTTTCAAATACTTTTTAGTCTGAAATCTGTATGCTAGATATTGAATAAGGTGGTTTTATTGTTTTTTGTCACTTTGAATAATATTTCTGTTTATGTTAAAAACAAAATCAACTCTATGTATAAATATATCAGGTGACTGTTAAGGCCCATTGGCCTCTTGTTATTACTAAGATTAAGAAGAGTTTTGGCCGGGACCGATGAAATACTTAGAGTTAAGCGGGGTCTTCGAGTTATACGAGTTCGAGATAACGAGGTTTGACTTTATACATTCATGTATATTCTTTACATTTCATCGAGTCAGAAGTCAAAGCCCCAACAAACATGTTGGATGGACAAGCATTAAACAAGAGGCCCAATGGGCCTGCATCACTCACCTGGTATTAATCTCACACTTGTAATCTTAAAGGTGGACTAAAATACAGTTACAGGCAGAATATCAGTGTGACCTTGAATCTCGAACAATGACATTAGCTTGAAAGTGGGTCAAGGTCATTCATTTGAACAAATGTGGTAGCCCTGATTGCTATAGGCCAAATATCAGTACCCTGGGCCTTTTGGTTATTGAGAAGAAGTTGTTTAAACATATTGGACCCCTGTGACCTTGAAAATGGATGAAGGTCAATTATTTGAACAAACTTGGTAGCCCTTCAACCTAGCATGCTTCTGGCCAAATATCATCACCCTAGGCCTTTTGCTTACTGAGAAGAAGTTGTTTAAAGTAAAATGTTGACGACGAACACCGCACCATGCCATAAAAGCTCACTTGGCCCTTCGGGCCAGGTGAGCTAAAAATCCTCCTGAACCCTTACCATCTGGGCTTTCACACATTACGCCCGTGAATCCTGCAACACAGGTGCAGACGAATCCTACAGCATTGTCATTGGTACAAGTTCCACCATTCCTGCAAGGCATTGCAGAGCATCCTGCAAGAAAATAAATCAGTTGTTAATCCTGAATTATTTTGACACTTTCAAGTTTCCAGCTAGAGAGCAAAACTCATTTTTTTGGAAATTGTTTTTATCACTGACTCGGTACCTAGCCAATATTCAGGGTTTGAGAACAATATTCAACCATATTAACTCGTTTAACCCTGAAATTTCATAATTAACTATTTGAACTTATGAATTAGAAGAGTTAAGATGTCTCTTCAGGGGTGAACGAGTTAAGGATCCCTGTTCTACAGCAGATATATTTTTTCATATATACAGTAACCTCCCCTTAATTTTGTTTAAGATACAAGAGGCCAAATGGGCCTGAATCGCTCACCTGGATTAATCTCACACTAGTAATCTTAAAAGTGGACTAAAATGCAGCTACAGGAAGAATATCAGTGTTTGATTCATAAGAGCCTATTAAAAGATTTAAACATATGACGCCTGTGACCTTGAATGTCGAACAAGATCATTAGGTTGAACAGAGTTTTAAGTCTTCCAACCCAGCATGCTTTTGGTAAAATATCATAACCCTGGACCTATTGGTTATACAGAACAAGTCATTTAAAGATTTAAAGATATATTGACCACTGTGACCTTGAATATGGGCGAAGGTCATTCATTTTGGCAAAATTGGTAGCCCTTCATCCCAGCCTGTTAATGACCAAATATCATCAGCCCCTGTGACCTTGAATATATGTTAAGGTCATTCATTTGAATAAACTTGGTTGCCCTTTATCCCAGCATGCTACTGGCCAAATATCATCATCCTAAGACTTTCGGTTATTGAGAAGAAGTTGTTTAAAGGTTTTAAACATATTTGACCCCTGTGACCTTGAAAATAGGTGAAGGTCATTTATTTGAACAAACTTGGTAGCCCTTCATCCTAGTTTGCTTCTGATCAAATATCATCACCCTAGGCTTTTTGGTTATTAAGAAGAAGTTGTTTAAAGTAAAATATTGACGCCAGACGACGGAAGCCAGACGGACGGACGACAGACGCTGCACCAAGGATAAGCTCACCTGGCCTATCATAGATATAGTCATGTCGGAGAAAAGTTTCCAATGCGTCTTTTACAGTTTTTGGCAGTGGTACTGGGATCCTTACCTCATTCACCCCTAAAATGCATTTGAACTCTTCCAATTCAAATGTTGAACTGGTTCATTATGAAATTTCAGGAGTGAATGAGTGATTATTAGCAGTGTTTGAAATAGCTTATTTAAAATTAGTTAAGTTATCAACAATGAATTGTTGAGCAATACTATTCCCGCTAATCATCCCAGAAAAAATTAAAGCTATAAAGTGGAAACGGATTTTCTATTTATAGTAACAGTGACCTTGACCTGTGACCTAAAGAATCAAGACAATGCAGGTTTATTTTCTTCTCAATGATGAGTTGCTGATCCTTCATCTTATTTAATTATTAAAATACCATAATTTCATATATTATATAATCATGATCAACCATTGAGGACTATGTTTCGATTTCCGCCGTCATATTATCACCCTTCAGGTCCATATAACCCACATATTCATTTCAACAACACTCCATTGTTGATAAATACTTAGCCTAAAAAAATACATTCAAACTTCCATAAATCAAACTTGAACAGATTTGAATATATCGATGTGTTAAATTTATGGCAAAGTCTGGATTTTTTTCATTAAGTAACATTATTAATATTCTTTTCTTAAATTGAGCTGTTTAAGTTGAATTTTCAAAAGGTTTCAAAATATCATCAAGGTGCGTTTGTTGTGAAAACAATGAAAATTAAAACTAATACATCAAAGTGAAAACATATTACCTTTACATTTACTGTGGCACAGACTTTGATAAACATAACAAATGTTAAATCGATAAGATCACCATGAAAACTGCAGTATATAAATAACATGTTACTCTTATTACTGATGTACTACAAATCCAATATTTATAAATCTTAAATTAGATTTCTTAGCCTGTATTTCGTCATTTAAAATCACATTTAGTCTCTTGTACATGTTTACAATGGTAGCATATTCCCGAGTCAAAGTTCCGATGTTTCATTTTTTTTGATGGTCCCGCAAAGATCAAAGTTTGACTGTATTAATACAGTATGTTACAATTCTTAATGCAATATGATGCTGTGAAATCACTAATTTTTGTGGGGTTTTAAAATTTCGTTGATTTAGTGACTACAAATCAATAACAAGTTTGACATATAGTTGTCTCTGTATCATGCGAGTACTCTTTATCCACGAATTAATGTAATCCACGATATGGCGTTTTTTTGGGGGGGAAATCACAAAATTTGGGCAACACAAAAATATGATTTCACAATATGCTTCAAAATACCAACTTGACAGCTGTTAAATCAACACTACAAAGGGTTCTTTGTGGTGTAGAATAAGTCTACTTGTAAATTCAAGGGTTTTCAAAGTAAACAATCAATCTTTTTTATCAATTTATCAAATGAAAGGCATAAATGCATTGAAAAGTGACATTTGTGCGACTATAAACCCAGATATGTATTTCTTTATTCTGGTTTAATCTTTCCTGTCACAGTTGTCTCCCTTACCACATGTTCCTGTTTTCAGTTCCACGTCGTCAATAGCAATGTCACCGCTCGAACCATCTCCTCGGACTCCAGTGATGTAGATCTTCAAAGGCAGAAATAATTAAAAGCAATCAGCAGAGATTGAAGATTAGGTTATTATGTTTTGGATGAGACTAGGAGACTATAGTTTGATCCCTTGGTGTACATCAAGAGAATCTTGAGGCCGCTTAAGGGCCAGGGTGCAGAGAACAAAAGTGAGCATAACCCAAGTATGGAGGATGCACTTTAATATACCGAGGCAAATAAAGAGTCGCTTTACATCCAAACATGATAAAGACCTAAGGTGGTCTGCTATTTTATCTCGAAAAGATGTCACAGTCCGCCCGTGTGAACAGTTGCTGCTTCAAGCCATGTCGGATTCCAACTGCTCTTCATTTTGCTTACAAATGCAACATTTGACACCGATAAAGTTATAATATTCATTCTGCAAGGGCTATACCCCAAACCTTTTGGCTGCAATGGGATGCATACCTCACGATAAAATACATATTGCGATACAATGCTTATAATATACGTTACCTATCATGATACAAATATGATTGAGTGCTGGAGTTTATCGAGTTTTTGTCATAGTAAAGACTATCAATATATATTTTTGAATAATTTTTAGTATTTTTGGGTATGACTGCACAGTAGACCACATCTTTACTGAAGGATTCAAAAAATATCAGTACACTTTTTTTTAGAATTTGATGAAAATTGATTGATAATTGAAATACTGTTGTATCACGATAGAGGCAAACAAAACAATTTGATACAATACACCAGAAAGTATCGTGATATGAAATGATATATCATTGCAGCCCTACCAGGCAATTATAAAATCTATACAATCTTACGACCCTGTTTTTGAATTCTGACAAATCCTATCAACCCTTACCAGCATACTTAGTTGCAACCATTTTAGATCTGATGACATGTATCCAAGCTGGTCAATTTTAATAAACCGACGTCAGAATTTTTTGGAAGTATGTATGATGGAGTCAATATTAATGTATACAAGCTACATGTACCGGTACATTACCAGGGTTTTTGCTAGGTGTTCTTAGGGTCCGATAGAGGGACCCATTCCCAATTGAAAAATGACACTGCATTTTCAAAATTTCAGTCTTTATTTGTCCAATGGGATTAAAAAGCATGTTTATACAGGTTTCCAGTCGTTATAATTGTGCAATGTTCAAAATATTACCATCCACGAAGGAGCATTCAAAATACATAAATAGCGAAAATTTGAAATTAAATAAACAAAAGCATTGAAAATTTATGTTTATTTATTGCCATACATTTTACTGTAAGAAACAGCTACAGTATTAATGTAGAGGACATTTTGCTAATCACATTATTTTTATACAATTGTGGGATCATTGATAATATTTTCGAATTTTTGTCAAATGCTGGCAATATTTTCCGAATTCCTGCTCGGGGGCACTTTCCCAAAATAGCTGGGAAAACCCTCAATTTCAAAAGGAGGCAATAAGTGGTATTTCCCCATAATGCATCACTGTACAAACCTGTCCATTGTTCATAGCAGGGATTTGCACAGATGCCGTCTCCCAGTTGTTTCCCTGCTTTCCAGCTCTTGACCACAATGTCATAACCTGCTGACTGTCCAAGTGAGAAATCTCAAGACTGCCAATGTGGAATCCATACATGTGATAGGCAAAGGACAGACAGCACTGAGCAGCTGTAAGCACACATCAAAATAAACATATACCACAAGAATTTCTTCTGTTAAGCTAAAAGGTCTGCTCAAGAGTACATACAGGTTGATTTATGTTTGAAGAAATATCATGTTTCAACTCATTCTCCCCTGAAATTTCATAATGAACAATTCCAAGCTTATAAATGGAAGAATTCAAATATGTCTTCAGGGGTGAATGAATTCAATATACAGCATGTAAGTAGTCTAAATATTATCCAATATATTAGGTTTGTGTAAGGGATTGTTTCTACAAGCAGTTGACTTGTACGTTCACTTATATCTGTTGTTCAAGCATAAATTGTACCCCAAAAACTATCAAGTTTCTGTTTTACCTCCATTAAATATACCCCCTACCAAAAACAGTACAGATTTCTTTTTACAACAATAAATATTGACCTTGAAAACTTTTTAAACCCCCAATGCACATCTACATAAGTGTATATTCCCTCTACATAACAGTGTATATCCCCTCTACATAACAGTGTATATCACCTCTACAAAACAGTGTATATCCCCTCTACATAACCGTGTATATCCCCTCTACACAACAGTGTATATCCCCTCTCCATAACAGTGTATATCACCTCTACATAACAGTGTATATCCCCTCTCCATAACAGTGTATATCACCTCTACAAAACAGTGTATATCCCCTCTACATAACGGTGTATATCCCCTCTACATAAATGTATATCACCTCTACATAAGTGTATATCCCCTCTACATAACAGTATATATCTCCTCTCCATAACAGTGTATATTCCCTCTACATAACAGTCTATATCCCCTCTACATAACAGTGTAGATCCCCTCTACATAACAGTGTATATTCCCTCTACATAACAGTGTATATCCCCATGTCAAATTTCAAGAAGAATCTCTTGGAGTCTGAGATAAAGACTGTAGCTCTCATGATCTATTTTCGGTACAGTGACCTTGACCTAAATAACATTTTAAACCCATTTTGATCTACATATCACAGTTTATCACCAAATCAAATTTCAACAAGATTGGTATTTTGGTTTCTGAGATTATCTCAGGAAATGAAAGTGTGGCTGGATGGATTGATTGATGTATAGACACCTGCATCTCTGATGTACCCAACCCTCACTCCCCATATAAAGAGCATCCCCTATCTTATCTGCAAAATTAAAGACAAATGTATTTTAATAAATGGATTGTTTACACATAAATCAATCAACACAACGTTAAAAATGGGGGTTTAAAAACATGTCATCAGCTCACTTACAATGGTTACCAACTCCTGAAAAGTTCTCATATAATGAATACGTTAATTATGGCCTGTGAGTATAAAATTGACCGGTAAAGTCATGATTCTGATGGATGTTTGAAAACATCCGATTATCGCAACTTACAATTGGTACCCAAATCCACGTAAAACTGTGCAATATCATATTCTATCCTAGGACCGGAGGCATCAATGAAAGCGTACTTGTTTCCTTCAAATGCTGATGATGGCCCCGTAACAGGGCTAGAGGTGCTACCCTGTAAAAGATTTAGTAACATAAAATAAGAAAATTGTCTAAGCCTTATGGATAATTATGAAAATCAATGCTTTTACTTGACCATTTATCTATGCATACATCAATCATTAATCACCACTGTAGACCATATTGGACTCGTCCAGATCATTGCATGGTAGAGTCTACTAAAGTTATAGGGATGAAAGGGTTAAATACTGTAAACAAACATTTTAGCGGTAAAACCTATTTTTGTATTCTTTAAATAATTGCACAAAATCATGATTTTGCCAATTTAAGTTCCTGTACATATTGTATCCATTTGCATATTTTGTTTGTGCGTCAAATCGTCAACATGTACTAATTTGCTTAAATTTGATGTGCTAAAATGTCGGTGTACTAAAATAAGTACGTTTACAGTAAATAATTTCAACTTGTACTTCTTGGGATTTTCCCTTGACCATTAAAGGGGCATCACGCTGAAGTAACTTTTTTTTTTGTCTTTTTTCCAAATACTACATAAATATATCAAGTGAGACTCCTTATGGAAAATGCCGATCGGATTTGGCTGAAATAGATTCATAAAAATGATTAAATCTAAGATAATCATCGGTATTTCTACCTGTCTGACCAACGTTTTGTTCAGGGATTTCCCTCTACTAGCGCATGCGCATAGCACACCATTTCTTTGTAAACAAAATGACTGGCCGTGTGAAGTAAGCCAAAGAAAAGTGTTGTACCGTGTCAGCTACGAAGCGAATAGTTGCCAAATGGTCAAAAGATAGCGCAAGGGGTACGTTAC